GCGCGTAGCATTCACATCGTTGTATGAATTATTATTGATTATATTGAGTATTTGATTTTTTTTATTGACTATTAGACAAGTAATTGTAGTTAGGTGTCCCCAAGTAGTGTACATTGTATGCTGTCGACTTTGGCACTATAATAAAGTTCTTACTTACTTACTTACCTCTTTAAAACTTCTTTTAAAATAGTAAGTAAGAAATAGTTAGGAACGCAAATCGTGACGAACTGGAATCCCGGATGTTACGTGTGTAATTCAGCCGGTGTGACAGTGATATGTGTATCCCCGTGATATGAACGTGGATATTACGACCACTGGATGCAACAGCACTCAATCATTGCAAAGTCAGCAAACAAGTGCAGATATTTAAATACATCGCCGCTTATTAACAGTTGTTAGAAAGCAACTTGAACAAGAAACGTACGGCGCACGCTACTTCATGGCGACAGGAATTTTTTCCCCACTGATCACCAGAATTCGGCGAAGGATTGAACGCGTTGACGGAATTAACCTGTCGGAAAACTACACCAGGCTAGAGCTTCGCGAGGATTTTTCCAAAATAACTATACCTAACACAAATCTTGCGGAAAATGCAGATTATTTAGAAGTATCATCTAAAGATGGCAACGTTAATGCCGTTGGCGTAGAGACGGTAAATGGCATTTCAACATCGGCGGAGCACGAAAATTTTGTCATAAAAGACCGCACAAACCATTCCAAGACAAAAACGATCGCCTTTCTGGGAATTGCATTAACCATAGTAGCGTCTTTATTATTTTCTGCAAACTCTCTAATGATTAAACTAGCTGAGAGCATCCCAAGTTTGGAGGTGGGGTTCATGCGTATGGCATTACAGCTTGTGTTTTCACTCCCAGTGGTGATATTTTTCAATGATAAACTTATCCATCCATGGAAAAAGATCAGCTTTTTACTTCTGCGAGGAACAATTGGTGCCACGGGGATGAATTTAAATATTTACGCCGTAAAGCATATGCCTTTAGCTGATGCAAGAGTGATCCTTTTTACCTCCCCGGTGTTTACAGTTCTTCTTGGGCGCATTTTCCTCAAGGAAAAAGTGACCAAGTTTGATGTGATGGCTATGGTGCTGAGTTTAGGAGGGGTGGTCTTGATTGGGAGACCTTCATTTCTGTTCGGGTCAATAGGCAAAAGTTCTGGCTCGAAACAAGTCTGGTTGCCCACTGTTATGGCCCTTTGTGGGGCATGTTGTCAAGCATTTGGCATTATCATGACACGCAAGATATCTCAAGAGTTGCCTGCTAGAGTGGTAGTGTTTTATTCAGGATTAGCTGGAACTGTGATTAGTCTATCAGCTTCATTGATATTTGGCGGATTTAAGTACCCCGACTGTGGAACCTACGACACCTTTTACATCATGGCTGCTGCACCTGTTGCCTATATTGCCCAGTTAATTTTGACAAAGGCCTTGAGTATGGAGAAAGCCTCTGTTGTTTCCCTTGTGAGGACTGTTGGAATTGCTTTCTCATTTATCTTGCAGCTGACTGTACTCCATGTTGCTCCAAATGGGCTGAGCATTGGTGGATCTTTTCTTGTGCTCCTTTGTAATGTTGCTATTTTCCTCAAAAAGTATTTGGATCAGAAAAAGAAGGTGAACCAGTCTTAGTTACAGGAATCAGATGGCTGATAACCCTTTAAGTCCCAATAGTGACCAACATCAATTTTCTCCTAACAATATCCATACACTGTCACAAGATAAAGTTATGAGAATTAACAAAATGATCACTCAAGAGAAAATTCCATGATCTTTTATCAAATTCTCTCAACTAATTCTTAAAGGAGATGTATGGAGATCAGTGTGGAGAATTTGTATGTGGATATTGGGGCTTAAAGGGTTAAATAACCAGGGAGCTTGCAGTTTGAATGAAGACTACAATAATTGAACCTCTCCAGTGTGGCTACCTTGAGGATAGAAGAAAGTGACCATAATAAAGAGATGGCCTTTGTGGAGTTGTCTAAAAAAGAGTCAGCTGGGACCAAAAAAGTAGCCGATGTAGAGAGATGACTGTTAGTGCAAATTTAACTGTATTCACCTTACACCCTAGCTAAAGTAGCTAGGCAAGACTCAGGGAGATCTGTGGCCAATCTGTTTTTTGATTTTCAAAAATCAGAAAGCTAACAAATACTGTAGGTAATTGCTTCCTGATTTTTAGAAAACTGAATTCAGAAATTTGATTTCGGAAAGAAGAAATCAAAAACTGAAATCCAAAATCACAAACTATGAATCAGAAATCATAAACCAAAAAAACAGATGTCCAAAATCCCCCCACTACTGGGGTGCCCTTTTGTACATGCTGTTATCCAGAAGTAATACAATAAGAGATGTACGATGTGCAGTTCACACCGGCAGGTTTGAATCGACTGGTAGGGGAATTCTGAATAGTTCAGTCGGGGCGTATTTGCATCAGTGCAGAAAATAAAGTTTTCCTAAAAATTTCATGTAGAAACAGTTGGGCTATTTCTAGTGATCATAGCAAATCAGAGACCCATGAGTGGAGCAAAGGAAACCATCCCTCCCAACACGTTCAGCGAATTTTGCAACATGCACCAAGCTAGGTTGTTGTAGCTCATTAGTTTAATGGCATTTTAGCTGGTGTAGTTTGATTATCTTTCTAGCATGAGGGGGCTGCCTGTGGTTGCACCTCATGTATATTATAATTTTGATAAAAGATGGCACCCTTTCATAACTAAAATCATATGGTATTTAAATAAATGAAATGCACCTTTGAAACTTTTTTTGTTTGAGAAAAGGATGATATGAAATATTATAGAGGCCTTCTTTTGGGGGGAGGGGGAAAGGTATGCATGTCCCTAGTCTGGATTTCAAAAGCGCCTGTTTTGCATATTGAAGAGGAGCAGGGTCAGGGGCAGGTCCGGGAGGGTGGCTGATACCAATTGGCCACCAAACTATACATTTATTTATTTTAAGTTGTCCTATGTTTGTCCCAAAACATGGCGATTTAGGAAGAGTGAAAGCTCGTTGGCTTCACAAGGTTTTAGTGACCCACGTATTAAAGGACTTCTTACGTACTTCCGTTTGTTTATCCAAGTATTATATGGAATGTTCTAAAGGGGGGTGGCTAGCCACTCAATCAACTCCCCCTGGATGCGCCCTTGAGGAGGCAATGTCGCTGTCAGTATATACTATTGTATTTGCAATGTTGTTTGTTCACACTTCAACTGTATAGTGCATGGTGGTAGACCTTAAGAGCTACAAATTTGTTAGAGCTCATCTAAAACAACAAAACAAGAAAGTTACAAATTATCAAAATAGCACATAACATAATTTGATTTAAATTTACTCTAAAATTGTGATGTCAAACAAAGAAGTTATGGAGGACATGTGAAAAAGGTACTTTCAGGCAGAGCCTCCCCATGCGGGGCGGATCCAGGATTTTCTTTAGGAGGGGGTGCCCTACTACCACTTGCTCTACTTCAACACCAATAAACCACATAGTTTTTTTTTTGGCAGAATACCAGTTGTATTAGAAAACCACAGGTCATCTCAGGGGGGGTGCGCACCCCCTGCACCCTCCCCCTAGATCTGCCCCTGCCGTATAGGTCATCATAGAGAGTACCCTTGCCCCTGGCCTGGGTACTGGCACAAAATGGTTTTGAGTTTACGCCTTGGATTCTGAATATGAAACCCAGGGTACATGATTGCCCTATTTCACCCCTTCAGACACCATTTTCATATGTGAGCATGAAAGCATAGATATACAAAGGAGTGGATTGCCCTGGAATTAGAAGTGTGCATGTGGTGACCCAGTGCCGACTTCAGTGTCCAAATAGAAAGGTCTTAGCTTGATTGATGGGCATGAATAAAGACTTCACTTGATTCATTTTTTTATTGTCCATAATGGAATCACTCCCCACACAAGCTATTCTTCCTACTATAGGCCTAGCTTGACCTGGCTCTTCTTCTGTCAACAAGATTGCAGTTGAGGAAATCCACAAGATTTCCATGAATTGGCACTTCCTTCGCCCCCCACTCCCACCACCACCTCAGACAAGCAGCATACAGAAAAAATGTGGCACTCTGGGGGAATATTAACACTGATTGATGCATAACATGGGCAGATTTAGGGGAGGTGAGACCCCAACCCCCCCCCACCACACCCAAATTTTTTCTGTGAAATTTTGTATTATTATTAAAGAATTCTAAGTATAATAAACAGTATCTTATAGCTTGCAAGTGTCATGGCCTCCTTTTCTGGATTTTGTGGATCCTCTTCTGCATAAGAAGTATATCACTGCAGTTCCACATATATTCACTTAGTTTTGTTCCCTTTTCTGATTTAACAGTTTCTTGATGAAAATAACCACATTGCAAAGAAGGATAAGAATTGCACCTCCAATAGTCAGTCCAATTTGGGATGACGTTTAAGAATATTAACTGGAGGATGAAAGAGAAAACAATTCCAATCGTGCGAACCAATGAAATTACACTGGCTTTTTCTAGTTAACATGCCTTTGTTGACAATAACTGCGCAAAATAGCCGAGCATACCTGAAACAATGGCATAAACAACATCATGAGTGCCACAGTCAGGGTATTTAAATTCTCCAAAAATCAGTGATGCCAGCAGGCTAATGACAGATCCAACAAGAGCATAAAAAATACCACTACTCTTGTGCTAACTTCCTGGGACGTCTTTCTTACCATGATAATGGCAAATGCAAACATAATTGCTGAGAGAACTGCAAGAATAGTAGGCAGCCAGACCTTTTCAGAGGTGGAACTTTTCTCCAAAGAACCAAACAGGAATGAGGGTCTTCCAATTAACACAACGCCTCCTAAACCTAACAACATGGCTATCAAATCAAACTTGCTCACTGATTCTTTGAGGAAGATCCTACCCAAAAGCGTTGTATAAACTGGAGATGTATAAAATATCACCCTCGCATCTGCCAGTGGCATGTGCTTTACCGAATAAACAATCAAACTCATAGCCGTAACTCCAGTCACACCACGGAGGATAAGAAATCTCGTTTTCTTCCACGGATGAATGAACTGGTCCTTCTCTCTGGGAGAGAGAAAACGAGTTGTAATGTCAGTCCAGTTGAAACGATCTCCAAGCTAGGGATGCTTTCTGCAAGTTTAAAGAGCAAAGAAGATACAGACAATAGCAACGTGGAAAAAATTGCAAGTGTGACCCCCAGAAAGTGGAATATTTTTCTCGTCCGAGAACTGAGCGATGGTGCAATCACCGTCACTTTGGTCGCAGTGTTTTCGTTCGATACTCGGGCATCTTGGAGGTATTCATCGCTCGTCGATGTTTGATCTCTGTGACGCAGGATGCTGAGATCTGCGGTCTCTGCGGAAAGGTTGCCTAGAGGGATTTCTGTGTTGTTTTCTAGCAGACGTTCGCTGTCATAATTCATGTCACTTCTTCGAAATCTGTTTATCAGCGGAGAAAACAACCGACCAGCCATATTCTGTGAATTTTTAGTTTTCAGCTGTAATATTCTTGTCTCAGTAAGGTTACACAATCAAGACAGATAAGGTACGCCGCAGCTAGCATTGGAAACATATCTTGAAACTTTTTGTGTCGCTTGTCACGCATCACGCATCGTTTGTGCATGGCATTCACATGGGCTCACGAGGGCTGGGTCAAGTTCCACCCCCCCCTGTGACAAAGCAAAAATCGATCAGGCAGGCAGCCAAGGAGAAACAGCCTCTCTTGAGGAAGCTACAATCTTGGACAGAATAAAATGAAACAGCGAACCCCCATCCCCGCCAAATCAAGGATGAAGCTGCACAAAAGCCAAAACGCTCCATTTTCCCATCCTTGATTTGGGGGGAGGGGGTATAAATTACCCATATATTTTTTCCAAGATTGTAGCCTATGTAATGCCCTGATTGAAAACAAGAGACGAATAGCGCTTATGGCGTTTTCAAAAAAAACTCTGCAAACAACGCGAAGCCGAGCAATGGACGAGAAAAAATATTGTAATGTCAACCGAATAAAAGCAATCTCTAAGCTATCTGCAAGTTTAACCAACAGACAATGGTAAAAATCATTTTCCGTTTCGTTTCTGTTGATGTGGTTTCTCGCCGATGTTTGATCGGCGGCATCTGTGGAAAATTAAGTAGCTGAGAAGGACTTCTGTGTCGTTTTCTAGCTGGCTTTCGTTGGCATTCATTCGTCCTTTCGATTCCGAAATCTGTTGATCAGAGAAGACTCTTCTCAACAACTGACCAGCCATATTCTGTAAACAATTAATTCGCAAAGGATCTATTCTTTGCAAATCGTTCCTGAAATTTTTTTCGTTTTGAATTTTTTGTAAAAACTTTGGAACTTTTAGCATCCGGGTTATTTATTTCAATAGGTCACGCGTAAAAAGCCAGTCACGCGAGCCTCTTTGAGGAAGAAGGAGAAAACCCTGGGAATGAGTGGGGTGGAGAGGGCATGCATGTAACTGGAGCATACTTACATATACGTACAAGACACTTGTCGATTATCATAACTGATAATGCTACCATATTTCTAATTCGAAAAGAAAAGAAAGAAAATAATACAATGCTCAAATATAGTAAATCCTCAAGAGATCATGATTTCTTGAAATCTTCTATTTATCCCCCTGTGATCGTGAGGGGTGGTATTTTGAGAGGGATCGAGAGGAGAGGCTTATTTGATAGCCGGGGGGGGGGGTAATTTTATTTAGCGAAGATGATGGCATCAATTCTCGCCATAAAAAAAAAAAACTAAACAAAAGTTGAAAAGCTCGGACAGCTGAGATCAAAAACAAATCTGAAATTCCATCACTTGAAAAACTCATAGGAATGAAGGTGTAACATTCGTGATCACTTGTACAGTTTATCAGTTATAAAAAAGGGGGAGGGGAGGGGGAGGGGCTTAAAAAGAGATGAGACTTAATAACTTCTTCCCCTGAGAAGGGGGGATTGGGGGCTTAATAGAACATTTATGGTAAGCACCACACCAAGAGGCCAAAAAGAATTGATAAGCGCCACCACGTTATCCAAAAAATATGATGTACTTTTTCATTTCTTTCAGGTGATGCCTAGCACATGGGCACCAGCATTAAATGATTTTGTTTTCACACCTAGGGTAGCAGATAACTGTGTACATGTTTGCCCAATTTCACCTTATCAGAGAGACATTTGAGCAGACCGGGAAGTCCCAAGGGGGAAGGGGGCAGTCAACAAAGTTTTATACAGGGAGGCTCACCCTCGTAGACTAACCCCTTATCCTGATTACATGCCGTTTCAGGCAAAAAATGGTTACCCTTTTGAATACTTTCTATTGACAAAAAGGTACCCCTTTCACATAATGAAATCCCTTCCCTTTCATATACCTAAAGCCCAAAAAAGGTACTCCTTTTGGGAGAAGCCTCTCCATGTCGGCCATTATAGGGAGTACCCCCTCCCCCCAAGGGGAAAGTAATGGGTATGCAGTGGTTTGCCATGGAAATAGAAAACTCAAAATGTGTGGATGCAGGGAGCCAGTGCCAGGGGTGGATCTAGGGGGAGGGTGCAGGGGGTGCGCACCCCCCTCCCCCCAAGATGACCTGCGGTTTTCTAATACAACTGGTATTCTGCAAAAAAAGAAAAAAAAAACTATGTGGTTTATTGGTGTTGAAGTAGAGCAAGAGACGAGTGCACCCCCTCCTAAAAAAATCCTGGATCCGCCCCTGCGCTTACTTTAGTGCCCAGGTAGAAGGTCTTGACCTTGTGCTTGGGCACCAGCACTATGCCCAAATTGTGGCATGACATGGATACCTGAAAAGAAGGGTATGACTCAAGTTGTTACCCAATGAGTACATACTCCCACACCACACCCAAGTATTAAGTGTGGACACATCATGGTGCAGTGTCTCTTAAAAGCTAAGCATTCATTTTACAAATCTTGCAAAATTACCGAAAAAAATGAGGGAAAAGGAAGCTGCTCAGTGGAAAGAAAAGGTCTTGTTGGTGCATCATGAACAAAGACTTCACTTGATTCAGCTTTTATTATCCAAATACGTAATGGAATTAATGAACATGCAAGCTTTTCTTTCAAGAATAGACCAGAGCTGAGTTGTTCGAAGCATGGTTAGCTTTAACCATTGGTTAAGCAGTATCAAAACCAATACGTTGTCAAGGTATTAAACGCTGGTTAACGCTAACCATGCTTCGAGCAACTGGGCCCTGGCTTTTTTTCTGTTAACAAGTTTACTATCAAAGAAACCTGTGTGGCACTTCCTTGCACCTCCTGGGCAAGAAACATAAAAAATCTTGAAAAATACCCTAGCTTGGTCTCTGGGGGAATGAACACTGATTGACACATAATAGGGCCATTTATACAAGGAAAAATAAGACGCGTCTTACATAAGACGCGTCTTAAATAAGGCGCGAACTGTACCATTTATACGAGCATGTCTTATCTAAGACAAGAACGGCTCGTATAAATGGTTCGCGTCTTATTTCTGTTCTTGACTCGTTTTCATGTGAATGTTGCCCATAACAACGGCAATCCAACGTGGCGCGCCAAAAATTAACGCATGTGTACTATGCGTTCGCGTCTTATGTAAGACGCGGAAGTCATTTATACGAAGTTTTTCTCGTCTTAGCTAAGACGCGTCTTATCTAAGAACAGGTGTTAAGGGCTGTTCTAAAATAAGACGGGTCTTAGGTAAGCCGCGTCTTATTTTAGACGAAATGTGCCATTTATACGGAAAGTTCGCGTCTTGTTTAAGACGCGTCCTATGTAAGACGCGTCTTATTTTTCCTCATGTGAGTGGCCCTAGTATGGTTTGATTTAGGGGTGGGTGGTGGGACCACAGCCCCACCATCTTTCTGTGAAATTTTGTTATATTTGATAATAATTCTACATAAAATAAACAGTATCTATATTAAGCTCGCAAGCTCTCATGGCCCCTGGGGACCCTCCCTGCATAAGGAGTAAGTTCACTGTAGTTTCATCTATATTCACTTAATTTTGTTCCTTTTTGTGATTTAACAATTTCTTGATGAAAATAACCACATTACAAAGAAGAATGAGAATTGCACCTCCAATACTCAGTCCATTTGGGATGACGTTTAAGAATATTAACTGAAGGATAAAAGAGAAAGCAATTCCAGTTGTTCGAACCAATGTAACTATACTAGCTTTTTCCAGTTGACATGCCTTTGTTGACAATAACTGCGCAAAATAGCTGAGCGTACCTGAGATAATGACATAAACAACATCATGAGTTCCACAGTCAGGGTATTCAAACTCTCCAGAAATCAGTGATACCAACAGGCTACTGACAGATCCTACAAGAGCAAAATAAAATACCACTACTCTTGTGCTAACTTCCTGAGACATCTTCCGTACCAAAATAATAGCAATCGAGAAAAATATTGCTGAGAGAACTGCAAGAACAGTGGGCAGCCAGATATTGTGAGAGGCGAAACTTTTCCCCAAAGAGCCGAAAAGAAACGATGGTCTTCCAATTAACACAACGCCTCCTAAACCAAGCAATGTAGCTATGAAATCAAACTTGCTTACTGATTCTTTTAGGAAGATTCTACCCAAAAGCATTGTATAAACTGGAGATGTATAAAATATCACCCTCGCATCTGCCAGTGGCATATGCTTCACTGAATATATCATCATATTCATAGCTGTAGCTCCAGTGAGACCACGGAGAATTAAAAATCTCGTTTTCTTCCACGGGTGAATGAACTGGTCCTTGAAAAATATCATGGCTGGGAGAGAGAAAACGAGTTGTAATGTCAATCTAGTGAAACCGACTTGCAAGGTAGGAATGCTTTCTGCAAGTTTAATCAACAAAGCAGATACAGACAACAGTAAGGTACTAAAAATTGTCAGTGTGACCCCAAGAAAGTGGAATATTTTTCGCCTCGGAGACTGCAAATGTGTAAACTGCACCGTCATTGTGGAACTTGTAGTCGCAGTGTTTTCATTCGATACTCGGGTATCCTCGAAGTGTTGATCCCCTAACACTGCGGCATAATTGTTTTCTGTACTGTTAACATTGTTAGTCGTCGATGTGTGATCTCTTTGAGGCAGAATGCTAAGATTTGTAGAAAGATTGCCTAGAGGGATTTCTGTGCACGTGTCGTTTTCCAGCAGGCGTTCGTTGCCATCCATTCCTCTTCTTCGAAATCTGTTTATCAGCGGTGAAAACAACCGACCAGCCATATTCTGTGAATATTTAGTTTTCCACTTTTCTTCTTTCTTGTAGACCACAATTCATGTAATGTAACTCACACGATCAAGAGAGAACAAGTTAAACAGGCAGTAGTCGCTTTAAACAGCTGCTTTAAACTGTTTCATAAATTATGCCACTTGTCACGCTTCAATCATATGATCAATCAATCAATCAATCAACTTTATTTAAGTGTCTAATCTTCTACCTTTTAGAAAATAAGAACCTGTTTTAAATTTCTTAGGATAAATAGGTTCTTGTTTATAGGGGGTATAAATGACCAATTTTAGGCTTACAGGTTCTTAATTTTTAGGTTCTTAGTTGCGGGTTTTTATTGTAGTTCGAAGGCGATGACGAGAAGAGTTCTAGTATGTTGTAAGCCAGTAATCGATTCCTTATTTTGAATATAAAGATAGCGATATCTTGTAATCTCATGTTATATAGACTAGTCATTCCAGCGTGTATAAGAAGGTCGCCATAAGGAGAGACTCTCTCTAGCTTGTCTCTGTCGCTTGCACGACAAAAGTGCCACACCAAGCTACAGTATGTGAGATGGAGTATGATTGTCTGATAATTACTGAAAAACATGGGCCGGACTTGGGACAAAGCCATCATGTGTCCTTGGAAGAAGCTGAAAATGATCGTAAATTCATGCAGTGAATAAATGAACAGAACAACATTAACTTCTTGGCAACAAAGAAATTCTAAAAATAAAAAGAATCGTTTGAATTTTTTGCATCCGGGCTATTTCTTTCATTTCGTCACGTTTTGACAAGTCACGCCGGATGTGGGGGACTGGTACTAGGTAGAGTGTCCAAGATGGCGGATGAATTGAAGGAAGACACGAGTATTTTGGAAGGATTACTGTCGACAACAGACCAGCTGGAATCTCTAGAATCACTTGACGCAGCTTTTACGACAAATACTGGATCGTTTAGGCAGCGACATGTATCCGAATCAGTAAGTTTGGAGCGTATTTTCCTTTCTATCTTGGCTTAAGCTTACTTTAGTCAGTTTAATTTAGTACAAGTACAAGACCAAATCGCCTTTCACTGACGGAATAAGTACTTTCAGTCAAATTGGCTTTTTTTAATGGTGTAATACCAATGCCAGAAACGTAATACCACCATCATATGAACTGAGACAAGATCCTTAAAACACCTTCATGACCATTCATGAAGATGTCTTTATTAGCAGTGTTTTTGTTTTTTAGTTTTTGTTTTATTGTTTTGTGTTTTTTAAAAAAACAATCTGGTACGTTGTTGTTCTGGCCAAGATTTCAACCTGTACCTCCCACTCTAGCCAACCTTCGCAGCTTGCAAGGAAAGTCGTGTCCAATAGCCTGGCTGGGGCTAGTGGGTTTTGTTTTCGGGATAGTGAATTCTGTTCTTAACTCGCCCGACGGGCAAGTGAACTTTTGGGGGAAATTCAAATTACAGAAGGATTGTAATCAATCCTGCTGATCAAAAAGGGTTTGGGGCTAGTTGAAATGACTTGTGGGCTAGTACATGCCAGCTACAGCTGGCAGGCTGTCCCGGGAGGGGGGCGGGGTACTCCCATATATGGGCTATATACGTATGTGCCGCAGAATAGGGTATGGTTTTTGAGGTTCTTGGTCCTTAAATAGGGTATCTTTTTTGACCCTTTTGTTTCTGTGTCCCTGGTGTGGTCCTTAGATAGGGTAGCTTAATTGTATTATCTTATACTGGAGTGTGAAAACGCCCACCTAAACGAACATTTTTTTTTAAACTAGGCTTATTCTAGTAGTTTATGCTTGATGCTATACATCCAATGTTACAGAGAAGAAATACAGTTTTCTTTTTCATGTTATTAATAATTTTGTTTTTTCCTTGAATAGGGTGTCATTTTTTGGCTTTTGGCCTTAAAAAGGGTGTCAGTTTTCACTTTCTTAGTCCTTAAATAGGGTTAGGGTTCGTGAACCTTTGCGGCACACCCCTATCCAAAATTTGCGGGAGTACCCCCCCCCCTCCCCCCCGCCCGGGCAGGCTGTAAAACTGACTTTCTTTGCACCCTGCTACTTTAGATAAACTAAGTTAATGGGCCATTCTCCAACAGCTAACCAGTGAAACGCAAGTGCTTAATTTGTGGTTTTTGGTTTAAAATTTAGTGTTCCTATGTTTCAGCCTCATTATCATGTATTACCATACCCAAGCTATAAAAGAATTGAGTTTAAACCAAGGGTGAACCTGCACAAAAACACGTACATGTGTTCCCTTTCAAACTAAGTAAGCATGTAGTAAAAATGAGACTCTCTGTAGGTATTTCTAACAAATCAAAGTTGCGACAATTGTAATTTTCTTATTTTCATTGTTGTCATTGTGGTGGCTTGAGCACAAACGTAGCATTTTTATGCAAAACAAATCTTCATATGTGACGATTTTGTGGAAAAACCAACGATTTCATGTTTAATGCGCAACAAAAAATACATCTGCAGGTACCCTTAGAGAGGCTCAGTTGTGTCTGTTGGATGGGTGCTATTTTTAATTTAAATTCATTGATTTACAGGTTGATATTGAGTTTGACCTCCCAGAAGTAGTCAACATGCCATCGTTAGAGAGCATTTTGAATGAGGTATAATGATTTTATTATTTTTACTAAAAAATTAATGACAGAATACATAGTACTGAATTTTGAAAAACATTTCACACCTTACCTATTCTCCTTGTGTCTCTTCGCACATAGGGTCCTACCCTATGCAGCTCCTACCCTTTGTGTTCTTGCTCAAATAAGTTTCTTCAAGCCCCGAGATCTAAGCTAAAGTCTTATGGTGATCGAAGATATTCTATTGCAGGACCGAAACTATGGAACAGCTTACCCTCTTCTTTAAGAAATGCCGATTCCTTGAATTCTTTCAAAAAACACTTAAAGGCATATTTATTTCACCAAGCTTTTTTTTTTATAATTAGATGTTTGATTAATTTTCATACTGATGTGTAGTTGTTAGATTTTTTAGAGTTTTAATACATTTTTGTAAAGCACCTAGAACAGTTAATGATATAGATGCTATAAAAATAAAGTCTATTTTATTATTTATTATTATTATTAGGATCTTCATGGAGCTTTTTCACCTCTCTCTGTTGGCTGTTACTACTCACACCTCCTCCAGAGAGCTATAACCCACATTTCTCCTTGTTTTCCCACTGTCCTCCTCCATGTAGATTTCTGTAATAGTATTAGAGAGCTTTAGATTCGAAGAGAAGGATGACTATGCGTAAGAGATTTTCTCAATACTGAGTATTGTTCACACGTGAACCAGTGTCATTTTGAGATGAAAATGTGATAGCCCTCGTCTTTCTACCATGAGGTCTAGCTAGAATGTTATAGTGGCAGGAACAAGTTATCAAATGTAAGAAGTGTTATCATTTTGCCATTGGGAGAGGGTTTAACCTCCTTCAGCATAAATAACTGTACTAACTTTTTTGGTGAAAAAAAGTAAAATGAAGCTTTCTGGGATTACTTTTTTTTTTTGAGAACGTGCCAAAAACTTTAAGTTCAATCTCAAACTTGTGCTCATTCTTGTCCTTAAATCTAAAGCTCTCTTATAATAATAATAAGAAGAAAATTTCTTTTACAGATGGCCTATGTTACACAATGTGGTTTTCAACAGGGCACTGCATTTACAAATAAAATTGCTAAAATACAGTACTAAAAATGACAAAACCTAATATTCGAAACTCAGATAAGCTAAGAACAGTTTGAAGAACTTGGATATAATCCATTAAAACTTTGTTGTTTTTGTCACCCTATATGATACTTGTATCTGTTACAGGTTAAAATTAAATTCAGGTAAATTTTTTAACCCAGGTTGATTCTCAATTTCGTTTGTCTTTCAGCACTAATTCATGAATAATCAGGGCTAGGAGACAACAGAAAATTGAGAATCAACCTAGGTTAAAAAATTTTAGCCTGAATATAACTTTGACCTGTAGCATAATAGTTTTACACTGTTTATTGTAGGTAAAATTTCTTCTTAAGTTAAACTGAGAAATTATTTTTAACTTAGTTTAATTCATTGTTTGTTTACACTTCTAGAAAGAGGAGGATATACTGTCCTTAGAAGATGATCCTGATCTAGCTAATGTACTCAACAGTGAACTGCTATCCTCTGTGCTTGATTTAGATCAAAGGTTAGTGTTTGTTATAATATCTTATTAAATAGACTAGCTCAGTATTCCCTATTTATTAGCAGTTCAGTTCTTTCTTTTATAAATTCTTTAACTCCCAATAATCTTACTTAGTAACAATGGCCATAAAGCGAAAAACTCACACAAATACAGATTGTCTTTTTGTAAAATTATCATATGTTTTAACCTATTTTTCCCTGAACTGCCCATAACTATGTGATCGGATCTACCTCCCTTGTACAACTGTGTCTTGTTATGTCATTAGTTTTCCATTGGTCAAGTATGAGTCTGTCATTTGATATGTGCACGGGGAAAAGATCTTTTAAACCATACCAGAATTAGCATGCTTTAGTTACAGATGATGGAGAAAAGGAGAAAAACCATGTAAT